CCTCGGAAGTGCCTGGGAAGTCCTATGTACTACCTTGGCCTGCCTCCTGACTACTGGAGGCCAGTCAGGCCGAGGAGGCAGCTCTTGCCAATGCCAAAGTGTGCCAGGGGCTGGCGTGCAGCAGCCTGCTTGAGGCTAGCGTGGGAAACAGACTATTAGTAGTCTGTTCCCGAAGCCCTGGTTCGGTGCCTGAGTTTCAGGGCCGGTCGTTCTGATGAACGACCGAAAATGACCCTTCGTTTCAGGCTAAAAATGTTAATGCCATTTTTAGTCTGAAACGACACAGGGACAGGCCCTGGAATTCAGGCTTTCGGCCTGAACCGACAAGGGGCCTGTACGCCCTGGATTTCAGGCTTTCAGCCTGAAATTCAGGCTTTCGGCCTGCAGTTCAGGCTTTTAGCCTGAACGGACGCAGGCCTGCAAAATGGCCTGCGTGTGCACGCGCAGCATGTAACACCCCCCCCTCCTTATGAAGTCAAGCCGGGGCGAGGGCGAAGCCGTCGATCTGAAGGTGGAACCTGGACGCGGGCGCGACGGGGAGCCGARGAAACCGGCTTGCCTTGCATCTTGCGTTCGTAGCGTGCGAGAACGTCTGGAGCTGTTGCTTGAAGTTCCGCATGGGTTAACCAACGGTCAACTCGGTGTGTGCAGTATGCAAAATGCACTAAATACTTAGTTGGCTTGTTGCCAAAGCGCCGCTGGGAGATGATGTCGCTGACCTCCTGAAAACCATCCATAGAAGGTGGGTCTTGCGTACGTCTCCCGGGAAAGTCGTCATGATCTGCTGGCGTGTAGAGAGCCAGTTTGGAGCAATGAAAGACTGGGTAGACAGGCAAGTGGCTAGGCACCTGAATCGTGAAGGAGGGTCCTTCGGGTGCGTCCCCAGCGGACTCTATGATCGACCAAGGCCCCATCCATTTTGGAAGGAGCTTGCAAGAAATGTCTTGTTCAAGGATGAATTCCGTTGCGGAAACCCAGACGAGGTCCCCGACGTGGAATGGACAAGGAAGACGCTGGCGATTGGCCTACTGGCTCATGCGCTGCTGCGTCTTTGCCATCTGGTCGCATGCCTTGACAAGAAGCTCTTGCATCCGACGCAAGAAAAAAAGATGGTCGTTGCTCTCGGCCGTGCGTGGAGTAATAGTGTCCAACGGTGATATGACCGGCGAGCCATGCTCGAACTCGAAGGGCGATATCCCAATAGCCGGGTGGATGGAAGAGTTGTAGGCCAACTCAACATCCGACAGTCGCTCAACCCAGTCTTTCTGGTCGGGGCGGATGAGAGTGCGAAGGAGAACCTGTGCGGTCTGATGCACCATCTTCGTCTGGCCATCGGTCTGAGGGTGGCGAGCTGAACAGGGCTTGAGAGATGAGCCCCATCGCTTGATGAGTGCCAACCAAAAATCGGACATGAACCGAGTGTCGCGGTCGCAGACGATCTCCTTCGGGTAACCCTTGGTGCAAACCCAACCGGCGTAAAGAACCTCGGCCAACTCCGGTGCCTTGGCATGATAGTGACAAGGCAAAAACATGGCGAACTTGCTGAGTCGGTCGACCACTGTGAGAATCCCATCCACTCCGGTCTTGTGCTTGGGGAACGGGCCGGTAATGTCCATGGCAATCGCTTCCCTTCGCCGCAACAGGACTGACAATGGTCGTAACTCGCCGTACTGACGATGGTTGTGGGATTTGCAGCGTCGGCAAACCTCGCATGACTCGCGATAGCGTGTGACGTCGCCGAGAAGGTCGGGCCACCAAAATCGCTGGCGAAGTCGGCCAATCGTGCAATTGACTTCAAAATGTCCAGTGGCGGGAGCATCGTGAAACTCGCCAAGAAGCCGGGTACGCAAGTGAGGATCACTTGGTACGCAAAAAAAGTCCTTCCCCCACGTGTGGACAAGCAAGTACCCCTCTTGGATCTGGTAGTGAGAAGGAGCCGTATTAGGAGAGGAGCAATTCGCGTACTTGTCGCGAAAATCGGGGTCGGCTTGGTAGCCGCGGATGAAGCTGTTCCGCAGGTCGTCGTCGATCTCCAAGGTTGAGTAGACTGTGGTACAGTGATCCGGACGCCGTAAAAGAGCATCCACAAAACGGTTTGACTTCCCGGGAATGTGATCGGGGAAGAAGTCGAATTGGTCGATGAAAGCCATCCATCGAGTGATGGTGCCCCAGCGAAATTGGCTTCGACCAAGGAGGAAGTGCCGCCACCGCTTGAGCGCGTGGACGAAGGCGAGGAGCTCCTTCTTGCATGCATCATCGATGGAATGCACGAGGGGCACTTTCTTGCTGAAGTACTCGACTGGGTACCAGTCCACACCATCATGTTGCTCGAGGACTGCACCAATGCCATAGCCTGACGCATCCACAGTGACACGCGTAGGCGCGAGCGAGTCGTAGATTCGCAAGAACTCCGCAGACAATAGCGCGGCTTTGAGAGCGAAGAATGATCCTCGCGCCTCCTCTCTGAAGTCAAACAACCGATCCTCGCACTGAAGCTTGTTCAAGTGGGCCGCGATCTTTGAGTAGCCTTTGATAAAGCGCTGATAGTAGCCGGTAAGACCGAGGAACGAGCGGACATCCGTGACGTTCCGATGCTCCGACCACTCTTGGACGGCCTGAATCTTGTTCGATAGCGGACTGATTCCCTCCGGTGTAACAAAATGGCCCAAGTATTCCAGCTCTTGCCGGACAAATTCGCACTTGTCGCGGTTGGCCTTGTACTTGGCACGGCGGAGCGTCCCCAACACTCGTCGAAGATGTCCAAGATGATCCTCCAATGTTCGACTATAGACGAGAATATCGTCTAAGTAGACCATCACGAACCGGTCCAACATTGCACGGAACTCATTGGTCATCGCCGCCTGGAACATCACCGGGGTGTTGGTGATGCCAAAAGGCATGACCACCCGCTCAAAATGCCCGTACCGCGTATTGAACACGGTCTTGTAGCGATCGTTCGGCTGGATCGAGATTTGATGATATCCCGATTTCAAATCCAACCTGGAAAAATACTTCACGCCGCCCAGTCGGTCAAGAAGATCGTCGATGCGAGGAAGAGGCGCTCCATATGGGGAGCTACTCGGGCGAATCCAGCCCTTGGCCAACAAATCATCGAGTTGTGAGCGGAGGACCTCAAGCTCCTCCTCGCTCATCCGATAGATGCAACCTTTCGGCGGCACGGCACCGGCCTCAAGAATGATCTCATGAGAGATCGGCCAACCCGGTACCACACCGGTAGGTGACTCAAAGATGTCGGCGAACTCGTCCAGCAACCATACCACACGGGGGTCCGAAGACAAGTCCGTGGGTGAAGAGTCAGCTACCGCGACGGTCCATAGTAAGCATAGGCCGATCTCCTCGGGCTGCTCGTAAGTGCAAGTTGCCCGGAATGATTTGGCCGTCACCACTTGGCACCGGATCGAAGAGTGCGGTAGAGGAATAGTACACGCCACTTCCGCGCCGAAGGCATCACGAACGCTAAGAGTCCGCCGATGGAAGTTGACCGTGTGATCCGCACTTGCAAGCCAAGGCATTCCCAGAATGATGTCGAAGTGCGTGTCGAGAATATCGAATGTCACCGGTTTGCATGCATGAGGTGCGAAGTAGACCGGTACGGCCTCGATGTAACGGTCGAGAAGTTGTTGCGTCTTTCCATCCGCCAACTTGATCGCCGCCGGGTTTGCCTTCCTCCGAACTTGTGCGCCAAGGCCAGCCCTTTGCATAAAAGGCTGGCTCATGAAGTTGCAAGACGCGCCGCTATCCAGCAAAGCGCTGCAGGACGCTTGCCCAACCTGAATGCGGACATACATGAGCGGTGCGTTGTTGTCATCGTACCGCTGCGTGCGAAACTCGCGGGCCACCTTGGTAGTATATGCCAGGATGTACCCCACCGCGCCTTCGTCATCCGTCGGCGAAGTTGGTGGTGCATAGAAGGAAAGGTAAGTGTGGAGATGAGGGCTAAGTGCTGCGCATTGCGGTCCCGGCAAACAGCCTGTGGTCGAGAGAGGAAGCCATGCAAAGTCCTCAGACGTGAGCGGGTCCAATGCCTCTATATTGAACTCGCGCGCCGAATCCCGTGACGAACCACTTGAAGACGATATGTCGCTGTTGCCGGACGGAGAAGAAACCGCACACACTCCTTGTCCTTGAGCTTGAGTACCCAACGTTGGAACGAGTCGGGCAACATAGTCCTCAAAAGAAAGTAGAAGTGGAGGACTGTTGACTTCCGCGTGCGCCTCGGAATGAAGGCTGGTTACTCGCGAAGAAACCAGTTCCGAAGGCGTCGAGAGTGTCGTCGCGTCACTCTCGGCGGTGCTCAATTTCCCTGTCTGCCCTTGCCTTTCAATGGGCAACCTTGCGTCTAATGAAGATTGTTGTTGCACCAAAGGCAATAGTGAAATCTCTCGCGCGCCTTGTATGTGGACTCGGAGATGCCATACGGGGTCCATGGGCCTGTCTGAGCTGCTGCACCGGGCCCGGGGCTAGAAACGGTGTGTGTCTTCGTCTTGTCGCGTCCTCGGCCTCTGCCGGGGCGTCCACCTTCCCGGGCGGCTGCGAATCTGTCCCCTTCACTGGCAGACACAGCCTCGCTGGTTTGGTCTAACGGTGCTGCCGCTGTGACCACGGCCACTCTTGGCCGATGCTGGTCCCTGATCGGGCCTGACGCAGATGAACGGAGGTTCTTGGCCTCCTTGTTCGTGATAATGATCTGCGCAGCCTTGTCGAACAATTCCGCCGTCGTCGTCAAGGTGTCCTCGACATGAGTCTGGGCATTGCTTAATGCCGGACATGACCTTGAGATAAAGTAATGGCGGATGGCCTTGAAGCCCATCTGGATGTCTGGGACTGACGTCAAGCGTTGGTACGCGACGATCCAGTCCATACTCAGCAGCGTGCCTTGCTCGAAGACCATGAGTTTGTCCATGACTTTGATCTCTGGCGGCTCCACCTGGAACCGCTTGTGCCACGCCGCCTTCAGATCATCCCAACTGATCTTGGTGTGCAAGTCGACCGCTACTACTCCGTTCTTGGACAAGAGGTTGCCCAACCAAGCCTGGCACGCGCCCCCTGAGCGAGAGTACAAGTAGGCGTGATGCTTGTGTTCCTTGACGTTGGACAGCCGCAGCGTGAGCTCGAACTTGCGAAACCAGGGAATCAGATCTGTCTTCATGGAGTCGCAGAGGATCTCCTGCCCGTCAAACTTTGGACTTGTCTCGCGCGGCTCCGTACTCGAGGTAGTGGCGGTGGTACAGACCCGCTGCTGCAACTGTTGCGTCGCGGTGAGCTTTAATTGTGCGCCATCCTGGAGTGAGCCGACGTGCATCTCCAATGCATTGAGGCGGTCGGGAGTATTGGAAGAGCCTGCGTCGGCGGCGGCGACCGGTCGCTGCTCCAACCGTTGAAAACGGTCTTGGAGGTGAGCCAGCGATCTGTCGAGACCAAGGATCTCTGCCTGGTGTGTAATGCAGGTTGCCAGGAGATCCGTGAGATGCGAGAGGAGGAGCGCTATCTTGTTTGCGCTATCCTCCAACTGGCTATTCTCGGCCTCGGTTCGCCATTCTGCTGCCATGGTAAGTAACGCCCGCTCTCTGGTGAATATCTTCTCACGACGCTGTGCTCTTTCTTCATCGGCAACCCTTGCTGCTGCCTAGTCATGCTGGCGCTGTTGTTCAACCGCCAGCAGACGTGCCTGCTCAGCATATTCTGCCTTATTCTTCGCTGCTGCTGCTGCGTCATCTGCCATCTTCCCGTTTCTTAGTCTCGGTACTCCAGGCCAGCATGCGGGCCTGATAGGCCTCATCCGCTTCTCCTGGTCTCTGGTCCATGACTGCTGTTTGAGATCGCAACAGCATAGACCAGCCGGGGCCTGTTGATATGGTATCCTCTGCTGCTGACGTGGTACTGCTGATGTGTCCTGCTGACGTGTCCTGCTGACGTGGCCTGCTGACGTGGCCTGCTGACGTGGCAACTCACCAATGCCGCCGCAGGGAATACCCGGATACAAATAAAAACAGAAAGGCGAGAGATGGCAGCAACATAGATGGGGAGGGGTGGGTGGGATAATCGCCCAACTCGCACTTAGATAAGGAGCCACTAATCAAAATAGGAAAGTTTGAACTTTGCAAAAAAAAATTTCGAGAAAAATAAAAAAAATAAAAATCCCGATTTTTTTGCAAGTTCGGTAGGTCTCCCAATCTCCCCTGAAGTACGAAATGATCACTGAAAGTGAAAAAAAAATTCGACTTTAGACTGCCAATGATTTATAGAACTGAACGACAAAATCCTACAACTGCGAAAAAAATTCCGAACAGAAATGATACGTATTCGGATTTATTCCGATTCGCAGTTTGAAAAATAATAACGCAGGAGGTATTCCCCGTACCGTTTTCAGAAAAACGAATTTCAGAGAAGAAAATATTCCGAATTTCTAAGTAACGGGAAATGCAACAGGAAATCGAAACTTTCGAAAATAAAAATATTCCGGATTTTCAACAGCGAAATTTCGGATTTTCAGAAAGAAAAAAAACGAAAATAGGAATTTCAGATGTTGTGATATAGCAATTTTCCACAGCAGAATAGCGAGAAAATAAAATCCGAGAAAAGAATTTTTTTTTTCGATTTTCGGTAGTAAGGTTAAAATCGTGATTTTGGGGTCTAACTAGTATGTCCTAATCAAACAGAAAAGACTAATTAGCTTTTTAGTACCCGCACACGTGTCAGATCAGGTTGTCCTGATGCACGTGCAAAACTCCGATACCAACTGTTACATGCACAAATATGCAATGCACGTAATAACCGAGGAACTGCAATGTGATGAAAAGGACTGAATGGACAATACATTGCGAGTAGAGTCTCGACAGACAATGTGCATTCTCATACGTACAAAAGGTGTTGAATAGCGCAGGGAAGACTTGATACAAAGACTGACCTGACAGGACTGACCTCATTCACGTAATTCAGAGTAGCGAAGCAAAATGCTAAAGTACTACTAACTAGCCCAATCAATGTTTGAACTCAGACTATAACATGCATGGTATCCATCACCAAGTGTGAAGGAGCCTGGCGCTGTACACAGGAAGAAAGCGCCAGGTCCAGACATACACAGACGAAGAGATAAGGATCAGACAAAAGGAGGGAGAAGGATGGGAATGTCGTTAACACCAAGTCTTGGTCACCAATCTCAAATAGTCCCTCGTTGCCATGTCTGAACCCCCAAAAGTCGAGTCTGGATCAAA